AGCCGATATTGAGCTAGGTTTGAAGGAGACAAACAACAGTCAAGTAAAAATTAATTAACATAGTATATCCAACGAGGAACGTGAAAAAGAACGTAGCTCTAACCCTGCTTCTTATTAATGCGTTGTTGCCGGTTGTAGCTTTCAGTAGATACAAGGATAAACCAGCGAGAAATGTGTGAAAAAGAACTTAGCTCTAACCTGGCTTCTTATTAATGCGCTGTTGCCGGTTGTAGCTTTCAGTAGATACAAGGAAAAACCAGCGAGAAATGTGTGAAAAAGAACTTAGCTCTAACCTGGCATCTTATTAATGCGCTGTTGCCGGTTGTAGGTTTCAGTAGAGGCGAGGAGAAACGGTGGAACGTCGGGAATTAGTTTGTAACGTGTCGGTTCGTGTTAAAAACGGGAATCTCGTGTCTTTGCGCGATATCATGGCTCACTTAATTCCCGAGCGGGAACATTATTACGGGCCACATGAGCGAAATTCCTCATTTCAACGCACGCACATTCCAAACTCCTCCGAAATGCGTTATGAAATCTCAAATATGCCGTAATACGGCTTCGCCTCCGCTGGGCAACGTTCGCAATTTAATTCTCTTCTAATTATGCATCGATAAAATTGCATCAAAGTTTCGAATCCTTAGAACTCATTAGAGCAAATCGAAAACGAGTCTTCTTGTTCTTCGTGAAAGATAATGTGATTATCAAATGTTACATACTCGTGTAAATACAAAGTACTGATTACTAAGAAGATTTCACTAACTAATCGATTTCTCATTAAAAGCGCTTATAGCGGAGTTACAATACAACAAGCGACAAATGAAGTGGATGTAAATCCTCTCTAATGAATTTTCCCGTTGGAAATTCCTTGTGTGAACGTAGTTGTTGATATGCCTGGGAGGTCTGGATTCGATGATGGCGCGCTGGAATTGGATATTTCAATTAAGCCTCCTTATACACATGCCATTTCGCGCAGTTTTGCTTCTTGTTTCTCGTTAGCGGCATTCGCATTAAGGGAAATTTCGTTTATTGCTCGAATTTCCTAAGAGAAAAACCGTCTCGGGATTGAATGGGGGAGAGCTAACAATGTAATCTATAGGTAGAATCGATTCGATGCAAGAGATGATTCTCGTTCGATAACGTAAGGTTTGTTATAGAAGTAAATTTCAGATCGATATTCGACCCGATTCGTATGGAAAAAGTTCCTCCAATTATCAAGATGGTTTGAGATAGTTGGTGGAAATTTACATAAAAAAGTTCGGCGAGTTTTACACCTTGCTCTTGGAGTTTGTCGAGTCATTAGCGAAGTTTTCCCCCGCCCGGATTGAATCGGTTCGCAAATGACCGGTTAATTGGCAGCGAAAACGGAAAATGCAAAAAATAATTCAATTGCGCGGATTTGAATTCCAACGGAATTCGAACCTCGCGCCAGATAAGGGGGATCGAACGACGCGTTAACCTCAAATTTTATCATCTGCCTATTTGACGCGCCGCCAATAAATTATCTAAAAAGAGGCCCTTTAGCACTCTCCGAATTCGCAGCCGTTTCCTTTCGAGGTTTCGCAGATGAGCCGAGACCAAAGGCGTAGTCAATAAAAAAATAGAATTGCTATTTTCCCATTAAATAAGTCCATCATAAACTCGGCTAATCGATTGGAATTACACGAAGATTTAAGGTGATAATAAGCAGGGATATTTTTCGTATCCTTGTTCAAATTTTGATACGCCACTGTCGGGCGTCGGTTTTCACCATCCAGGGCGCGTTTAGAAATGTTAAACACGCGGGCGTCGCGTTTCACCGACGCTTTCCTTTCTCCTTTTCCGATTTTTTTTGTCTTCCTCCACCCACCACGATCGGTTTTTGATTTATATCCGATACGAATTCCCGATTTTCCGGCATCACAAACAATATTATCGCTGTACAAGGATCGTCCGCTTTAAACAGCGCCATATGTCACTTGTCACCTGTCACCTTTCATCGTCCACTATTTGTCATATGTCACTTTTAGCTTTTGTGTTTCGTGAGTTTGTGGACTAGAACCGGATAAGCTGGTTCTATGCATAATAGAGCGTATGAAGGGGTTTTTATGATTCCACTAATGATATGTTGGTGGTGTAGAAGTGTATATATCTTCGTTTCGATCTATTACCATTCATCAGGCGGCACAATTGCCGCGTTTCTTCGTCGTCTACGCGCGTTCGTTTTCTTCTATCGCTGAACCGCAGATTAGAAATCGGTTATTTTTTTCTTTGGGGACATCAGTCTTAGTCTACGTGTCCCTGTCCGAAAGGAGAGGCGCTTTTTTGTCGGTCTGGATGATAATCCGAGTTTATATCAGAAAAACAGTCGGAATCAATCTTGTCGTCTGTGCTTTTAATAGAGTTTTTTTTCTACCCAGTATCGTTTCTTACATGAAATTGGTTATTGGCATTAATTTACCACCGACGAGGCGTTTTTTTATCCACAAACCATCCTACGCAATAATAATCAATTTGTAGAGTATCTTGTATTTATTTTTTTAGTTTTTTTTTAAGCAATTTAAATTGCTAAATCCACTCTATACTTTTTACAACCATCTGCGAAAGTTAACAATGAAATTCCACTTTTAAATTTATCGCCTAATCATCGTAAAATATCGATACATAAACTCCTTTTTTATTTTATTTTCATTTTTTCCTTTCGAACGGAACGGTTAGAACGTGTTTTTTCGCGCGTAAACTATCTGCGAAACAATTTATCGCCGAAAGGACCGGTTGACATCAATGAAATAACATGCCCGTTGGTTGCAGTTCACAAATCACTCACGTCCAGGCCCGTCCCGGAACGATTCGTAGACACTCCCGATGAAAATAAGATAAAGTTTTCACTGTATATTTTTAATGTAATTTAATTGTGTGGTAAATGAGATAAAAAGGTGTATCTAGGTGATATTGAAAACAAAAATGATACATGATAGGATGCGATAAAAATAAAACCAAAGTATAAAAATGATACTTTCAGGAAAAGCAAAGAGTTGGCGTCGAATGGAGCAATAAATGTCACTTCTTCTTTTTATTAAACATCGAAACTGAAAGCCCATCAGCTCCCGTTTTCAGGAAATTGCATTATTGACCTCGGTTCGTGGAAGATTTAGAGATAAAAGATTCACCCGGAATTCGATATGCACTCACTTCTATCGAATGACGTTCGAATTATTATATTTTATTCCTGCTTTTTCCCCCCAAAAAAAAACCAATGCTCGAACGTTTTCGTTCTACATGCCAGTTTGATTTAAGTCCGTGTATAGTTAGAAGAAAGGAGCTGATGGGCGAGCGATAAATTACGATCTGTCGTACGAAATTTAAACAAAATGACGTTTCCGAGTCATTTCCCGGCCCATCGACCGTTCGCAAAAAACATTTATCAAACAACCGGTAATTTCCAAAAATCGTCGCCGGGAGGCGGGAGGGCGGACGGCCGGGCGGCCGATCGACCCTCTTATAAATCAAGCTTAAGCACTATTTCATCCCTTTCGGAATATTTATGGCGGCGGAGACCCGCCATATTCGTCATCGCGTATCCCCTGATATGATTCATGCACGTCGTGTCTTCTTTTCTGGTAGCAATCGGAGCGTAATGGAAAAATTACACACCCCAAACACACGCGCTTACAACATTGCAAACAGGGCGGTTTTCTTATGACTACTTTTAAAAAAAATCGATTTCTAAATTAGGGTGAATTACGCGGTATTGTGGATTCGATTTTTTAGGGATGAATTTCAATCTATGTAGGATTAACAGCGCTTAATTTCACAGGAACAATAATTATTCATAAGTAAACTTCGAAAATTGTTTGCTGTTGTAACGATAATAGTTTGCTTTGTTTTGGGGTAGGGGAGTTGTGTTAGATTGAATTGGGTCGACTTCCCGGAGGATTTGGATTTAAATCGTACAAGAAATTCTCTATAAAAATATTAAAATTATTTAGCAATACCGTTTACTTCCTATGGGAATTAAATATATTTAAAAAAAATGAGTTTGATGACTAAATTTCATCAAGCGTATGACTTAAACATCTTCCTCGAGTTAATTGTTAATTGAGTTTTTTTTAATTAACCGGCCAAAGTTTTTCTGCTTGTTTTTAATTAATCAATCAATTCGAGTAACATTCTTCTTGGGCGTTTTAACGCCTCTAATGGAATTTAAACTTCGGCCTTTTTGGGAAAAGTTATTGTTCCGTTGGGCCGCAAAATCCGCGATTTATAACCGACCTATTGAGATAATAAATAAACTCTTTAAGTCGAAAACTCGGATTAATTTCGCTGTCCGTAGAAAGTATAGCGTAATTTCTAATTATTCCCAAATTGCGTGTATTTCGTTTTTGTAACGCGGTCATTGTTTTGTAATTAATTCGAGAACAAACGCAATTTCGCCGAGTAAATCCGTTCGTTAAAAAGCAGTTTTGTAAAATTTAATCGGCCGCGAAATTACCTCAAAAATTCCCCTTTTTCGCGCATTAATTGTTAAACGCCACTTTTTACACACCTTCAGACTTTGTTTGCCCGGCCCTTTTTCCTGTTTTCCCGCTCGAAATTCGCGTTTCATTCGCATCCGTCGCGTTTCCACGTCCTTACAGGTACCGTCTACTTTTCTCTCTCGCGCCCGCTTCCTGCCCTATATCATCGAAACTTCCGGAATTCCTGCCCCCTTTCCCAGTAATTGAAAGTCGAGGTTTTATTTCGCTCGATATTGAAACTCACGCTAAAACTTGTTTAAAGGTAAAATGTAATCCGATAAGTCGAAGAAATGTCTTCTACCGCCGGTTATTTTTAATCCCTTTCCTGCAATCCTGCACGCTTTGATTCCCACGATGTAAAAAAATAGATACTTTGTATCAATTTTTTAACCAGTATTTATTTTACGTAAATATAATGCCATTTTCAAATATTTAAGGCATTTGCCGTAAATCAAATGTCTATAATTTTTTTTCATGCGATACGTATAATTGGATTAGGGCCCGATATCAGATGAAAAATTTATTTTCCTCTGCCGCAACAGTAACGATGTAGCCTAAAAGAGAGGCAAATAAATATGCGATTGAACAAAATACTAAAAAAATTGATGTGTATATCCGAATAAAATTCCAATGCAATAAACCAAACCAAACAAGACCGAATTCGAATTATGAATTGCGCGTTTCCCATAAAAGCTTGTTTTTTTTTTAAACCTTTTTTTATGAAGTTATTGATTGCTACAGAATACAGTAATTGAATCAGAGGTAGTGAAATTATTTTAGATACACTGTGTAAAAATATGTATAGGGAATTTACTACCAAAAACGAACAGCAAAAACCTACAAAATATCCAGTAGAAAGATTAGTAACTACACGAGACCCGAAGCAATGAAAAATTCCGTTCGCTTTCCAGGAACTTTCCAGGAAACACGAGTAACGGACGCCCCCGAAACGCGAACGACCATTAATTTTTTTCCCTTTTTTTTTTTTTTTTTTTCGAAAAAAAATTATGTCACTAGTTCTTGATAGCGAAGTCGTTCGTCGTCGCAGGAGCGCCCGCTGTGCGCGAATTGTGACAAATGGCTTTAAGAGAAACAGCTTGTAATTCCCAACTTTTCGAGAGCGGGGCGACTGTTGCTCGAAACGGGAGGCGGTCGCCGGGGGCGGCGAATTCGACGCATCTTCTCTCGCCCCCACACCGGCTTTACACCCTTATTCTTACACAACTCTTACCTAAATTCACCTATAACAAAAAGTTTCCGAAAATAACTCGACCTCTACCGTGTAATTTTATACAGGGTGACCCAGGGTCGCGTTAAAGTCCCATAAGTTTTTATCTAATTGAGATATCGACTCGATTTTTTTTTCAAAAGGTAGGTACAATAATACTGCGTATTATTAAAATAGTTTCGTCTATATACAGGGTGGCTTAGTATTAGAAATTCACTAAAGTTACCTTTTTTTTAATGGAACCCCCTGTATATTATAACATTTTTGAATTCTTAAGTGAATTTTAGTGTGACTTTATGTACCATACATTGTACCTAAAACCAATCGTTTAGTGGTAATTCGACATTTTAGAAAAAAGTAGAGGTTTGAAAAAAAATGAATATTGCCGCTTTTGTAAAACTTAGAAGGCCGTGACTCTGGGTTATTAGTAAACATGAAATGTACTACTGTGTGACAGGGATTCAGAATTGAATACTGTTTGTGTTCTTAGATATCGATACGCCAATTTACAAAATTTCAATTAAAGGTAACTTGATTTTTTTAAATGAAACTACCTACTTTTTTGTACACCATCTTGTAGGAAATTTTATTGCCTTTCTAACGATATAATATTGTCAATATTTTTACCTGCTAGTTTTCTCTTAATTCCGAAATTTCTTATAATTCGCGGTAATTTAGTAGTATTCGCGGTAGTTAGCTGTTGTTGGCCTAACACTATAGACATTGTCCTTAACAAATCCCCATAGGAAAAAATCAATTGGTGTCAAATCGCGGGAACGGGCAGGCCATCAACAGCTAACGACATGAAGATCCGGATAAGAGACGCTTTTCGATCAATTGATTAAAACATGCTAACGCGCTTTAAAAATTAGTTTTTAAGAAGACGTAATCGAACATAATAGCAATATCTTTGAGCATCTACTGTAAGAAAAATTATTGTGCTATCAAAAAAAAAACTGTTCTTTATATTATTCCTTGTACATTATCATTATCTCCCTATAATAAAATAAATTGTAGTTGATTGATTGATCTGTATACTTTTTTTATAACTCACTATCTTTTATAAAATTTTTGTTTTATTTTAATTTAATTTACTATATTGAGCCACTTTGAACAGTACTATTGAAAATTGAAAATTACCGCTAATTATAAGAAATTCCGGAATTAAGAGAAAACTAGCAGGTAAAAATATTGACAATGTAATATCGTTAGAAAGGCAATAAAATTTCGTACAAGATGGTGTACAAAAAAGTAGGTAGTTTCATTTAAAAAAATCAAGTTACCTTTAATTGAAATTTTGTAAATTTGCTTATCGATATCTAAGAACACAAACAGTATTCAATTCTGAATCCATGTCACACAGTAGTACATTTCATGTTTACTAATAACCCAGAGTCACGACCTTCTAAGTTTTACAAAAGCGGCAATATTAATTTTTTTTCAAACCTCTACTTTTTTCGAAAATTTCGAATTGCCACTAAACGATTGGTTTTAGGTACAATGTATGGTACATAAAGTCACACTAAAATTCACTAAAGAATTCAAAAATGTTATAATATACAGGGGGTTCCATTAAAAAAAAGGTAACTTTAGTGGATTTCTAATACTAAGCCACCCTGTGTATAGACGAAACTATTTTAATAATACGCAGTATTATTGTACCTACCTTTTGGAAAAAAAATCAAGTCGATATCTCAATTAGGTAAAAAGTTATGGGACTTTAACGCGACCCTGGGTCACCCTGTATGTAACAAAATTCAATTACCCATCGATCCCTCGCTGCACTTATACATTAAAGCCGTACGAATTAACAGAGCCTGCATCTAACATAAAACAGCTGCTCCGGGGGGGATTAAGGGAAGTCTGGCGGGGGCGCGGAACGGTCGAAAGGACTTCTTCAGGATTATACCTTCGCATCTTTATTCCGTTCTCCCGCAACTTCGCCCTTATTACTACGTAATAAATCGTCCCGAGTGAACGGTCATCATCCGTCATCTCTTCTCCGGCTCAAATCAGACGGAGAATTAATTTTACAAGCCAAGTTAACCTCTAAATAAAAATAAGAGACCCCCGTTACTTGTCACATGATATGGATGTCAGTGTGTTACCTGTCGATTTTGTCGCGTATTAACTGTAATGGATTTATTATCAGTCTTTTAGGCGGTTCGGTGGAAAATAAACTGGGAGAGAAATTGTTTAGATTTTGTGTAATTTGTAGTACTCAGAAAAATTGCTTTATAATAATTACACTATACAATTTTTGTTTGGAATTGTTAGAAACAACAGGTTTAATTTGTAACGTTTTTACAATTTGCTTTATAAATAATGATTTATTCCGTCTTTTACTATAAATTTTAACATGTTCTCTCGACCACTGAATCCCTAATTCATCAGTCCTATGACAAGTATTTACCTATACACTACATAATTAATGTTCTATTTAATTAGTACAATACTTAAGAAATAAATAATGTTCCGAGTAAAAACATTCTATAAATTCAACAATAGCATTGTCTGAATCGGTGGAATTTCTATGTACCGTTGCGACTAACGAAATTTGCACAATCATCAATAATAATCCGGGTGGTGAATTTTTTGTTGCATATATTATCTAACAATATATAATTTCCAACGAGCTCTACTGTTCGCGTTTAATCACCCGTTGCGGTGGATCGGTCAGAGGTAAATGAATTGAATACGGATTCGTGTCCGAGCGAAACGGATTTTGACTCGAACGTAGGCCGGTACAATTCAAGACTCGAAAATAGAATGGGAAAACTGTTCGTTAAATTATAGATGAGCCAAGTCGTTACATTCAAGTAATTGAAAATGTACTTTTTTCCTAGTAGGCGTCTATCGATTCGACGGGATACTAGGCTCGAATTTCCCCATTTTCCCGGACTATTCGTAACCGATATCGTTCGGCCGTCGGCTCTATTAATATTCGTTTTCTGCTAATGGATCTTGTAAGTTATTTATAACCTCTAATCGCTCGCTCGACGAAAAACGAACGCTTTTCTCTCCCGCTCTTCCTTCGATATATTATATGCGAGCTTCGACACGGTCAAAATTTTGATTTATTAATCCGCCTCCCTCGCCTACTGAAATCCGAATTTCCCCAAAGGGATTTTCCCAGTTTCCCGCGACACCACAGCTTACTGCATAAATATACCCCATTGAGCGACACCTTTCAATTGTACCACATGAAATTAAAAGAGTATCGATACAACGAGCTATATATAATTAATTCCCGGTGTAGATATCGTTGGAAAGAATGGAAATCAATGGAAGAGAAGAGCAGTGGAAGCGGCCCCGTGGCGATTTGTCTTGATCTGGCCGGCGTTCGACGCATCAGATGACCGGTAAATAATGTTCTTAGATTTAATCAAGGAAAGAACTCTCCGAGGCGCACTAACCCATCAACGGAGTTCAAGATGGATGCAGGCAATTTAAACCAGAACCGCCATTTATTTCCTAAAGGTGTACATTAAAGGCGTTATAAGTTATTTAACTTGCAATTCATCAGGTATAGCCGAAGATACCACTACTTGTCCTATCGGAAATGATGTTTACAAGGAGCGAAGGGGCGTTCGAAAGTTCGCAGCGACTGCGAGGAAAATAGGGAAAAAAAAAGTCGGGAGGAAAATTAATGAAAATTCCCCGAGAAGGGTACGAGAAAGGAGAGACACCCGCGCGATTTCTAAAGCAAAGTTTTATTGAAATACTTCTGTCAAAGGCAACGCGCGGTCCAGAAACTTTCCGGGCCCGGCCCGATGGCGAAGAGAAGTTATACGGAAGGTAATCAGCGGCATGACATCGTCGGGAAGGGAAAATCTTTCTTCGACCTTTGACCAACTCGCCCAGCTTGCATTCTAATCTATCTAAGTACTCGGATAAAACCTGCATACTCCAGCTAGGCGCAATGATTACTGCGATCTCTCTACACTAACTCTAATGGAATTTTAAAATTGTCAATCGTACTTTGACGATACAAATTGTATTGTAATATTTTAGTACTTAATAGTTTTTTGGTAATACTTATTGTTAGTTTCTTTTATTGATGGTGAATTTTCTGTGGCAAGTGTGCGGTCGCGTTCACCATAAGAAATAAATCGCGGGACGCCTTTGATATTAAACGACTTCGCTTCGTAATTAATTTTCAATGAATTTTCTCGAGTCCGCTGTTACCGACTGCATTCATTCACTCGATTCGTTTAAAACGCGTATTTTCGCTTTATTATTTCCATGGAAGTTTCCAATGGGAAATGTACTTAACAAGTCATTAAAAATCTAATACTCCGGAACGTCTATAATTCGAGCCGATAAGAAAACAAAACGCCTTCTATTTATATAAAATCGAGAAATTCACCTTATTTTGCCATAAGGGGATTAAAAAGGATTAGTGCGGAAATGTTGATTGACTTTTACATAAACTGAAAAAATTAGTTTGAATAAATAAAATTGTAATTCGAGTTTTAATTTTGTTAATGGGAAAGTCGCAACGAAATAACTAAGCAAATTGTACGTTAAGTTAATTTAAAACTAAAAGAGAAAAGTTTAACGGAATTAAAATAGTTTTCCACTTAATATAATTGCAATGAAGTACTGCTCTCTTCATGCCAAAATTATGATGCAAATGCCTTCGTATGCTGACTTAATTAAACAAATAGATCGAGTACAAACTGTATATTACATAACATTATTGATCCAATACTATTACTAATCAAATTCAACGCTAATTGAAATTATACATACACTATCGGAAATCCATCAGAAAGCGATCATTACCGATTAGACTAAAAAAAAACCCGTTTTCCATCATTACCGAAAAATAATCCTCGCGGCCCATTAGCAGGAAAAACACCCCGAAAAGGACCCGCCGAAAAGAATAACGGAACCCCCGCCCCTTCGGCGGCGGGAAGCGCATTAAAGTGCACTCAAATCAACGGAAGGGTTGTTTTAATTGTTTTTAAGCGTTAAGTGGGCCATAAATTTAATTTGGAACTTTTGCATAACGAGGGTAGACCGCGGACGCCGCTCGCCCCCCCAGCGGCCGAGGAGCTTTTCCGAGCACATGCCGTTCCCCGAGTTCGGGAAGAGTCCTGACCCGACCGGTGCGGTGGCGTCGCCGAGTTTCGTAGTCAAAGCGATAGACCAAAATCCATTTTCATCTCCAAAATCTTCAACACCGCTAGTACGAATCGAAATCTAGCGAAATCGAAGCGATTTTACGCGAAGCTAAGCTACAGAAGATGATTAGAATAAGCACTGACTCATCGATATAGTTCTGTATTAAAATCTTTATCGAATATCCCGCCATCTAAGAGTTCCTTAGTTGAAATTTGTCCGATGGAAACGACGTCCTCGTACTTCGCGTTAGTTCGGACCTACGTGATTTTAATGACAAACGCTAGATTGTAGCGACACAGCGGCCGCTTCGAGGATTCGTTTAATTGCAGTTTATGAGAGAAGAACGCCGTTTTAATCGATACTTTAAAAACCTAAATGGTCGGGAAAGAATCGAGGAATCGCTCCTCATTCGGTGCGATTAGCGTACGCGACGGTTTATTGTGTAATGAGAGGGTGTAATTAGCGGTATTGTTTGATAGTTTGACGTGATTGTGACATTAAACTACTCTTAGCTAAATTGGCTCGAAATACTCTACTCTCTAGGACATGTAAACTGGTCTGGAATTGATCCTAATTGATTTAAAATGAGAGTAATTACCATATCTAAAAGAGTCATACGTATAAGAGAATCAATCAAAAGTTATAAATTGGGTCAAAATACTTTGTATTGGCGGTGAAATTTGCTTTAAAATTGGTCTAGAATTGGTGCTAATCGAATTAAATTGGCAATAAGAGTCATGTTAACTTAAGAGAGTCATCAAAAAAAACTAAATTGGGTCAAAATACTCTACAATTTGACATGCAAATTGATCTAGAATTAGATCCAAATAGAGATAAAATACTTAAAAATACCTTAAAATACTTAAGGGAGTCAATAAGCACCAAAAGTAATTTAAAAGTAATTTCTCAAAAATAGTCCAAGCGATATTAGGCGCTTTCTCGAAGAATAATTTGTTCTAATTCGAACGAAAAACATACCTATTTTGTTCCACTCTGTATATTTCTGTTATGGTCAACAAACTCGAATTCTAAAAAAAAATTTCACGCTCGACGAATTGCGTTGAATTATTAAGTAGCGACGAAGGAAAAAATCGTAATAACCGGTACGAAAAAAAATTGTGTTTGCTTCAATTAGGTTAATGAATGAATGAATGGATGAAGAATCTCTAATGTACAAATTTTATTATAATAATAACATTTTGGGCGAAACAAAAATAAAGGAGTCAGTAGAGAATAGATTATTGAAACAAGAATAAGAGTCAACAGGGAATTGATTATTGAAACAAGAATAGGAGTCAGTAGAGAAAAAAATATTGAAACAAGAATAGGAGTCAATAGGGAATTGATTATTGAAGCAAGAATAGGAGTCAGTAGGGAATTTATTATCGAAAAAAGAATAGGAGTCAGTGAAGAATCGATTATTTACTTGTGAGAGTCAGTCTATGATGTCTATTCTATCCATATCCATATAAATCAATTATTTACACTATTCGCATTCTTATTTACAGAGTTTTAATCAACATGTGCTTTCTTCTAAGCTTCGTACATCTTTTAAACAGTTTCAATAATTTTATTCTCAATTATACTAAACACATTTTTTTATATTAACCACTATCGCCCAGTTCCCAACAGTAGCCATAATAGAAAAAAAACTCTAATTTCCTGGTGCATCGGAAACGCGACATTGACATTCCAATCTACCCCGCCTTTTTTACCCCTGCAAAAGGTGGATCCGATTCGCAAAAAAAACCCAATAAAAAAAACCAACCCGATCGACATTCCGACCGTTTGCCGTCGAAATGCACGTTCGACATCGCTCGTTCGAGGCAAATTTTGATTTGTGGTGACGTCCAACGGGTCAATAACAACGAGGAGCGCGAGCTGCCCGAGGAGTAGAAGGCCGAAATGGAGCGCCGGAGATGCGGCCGTGACTGGAATACCTACCGCACGGACGTCGATTTGTTTTTCAGACACCGGCGATCCATCAAAAGGATTCGCTTCGCAGTTTACAGTAGCGTATTTTTCGATAGGCTACTCCAATGCTGGGTCTTGTTCACTCGCTAATAAGGCGTTGGAATAGTCGTGTTAAGTAGTAGAACAGTAGAGTAGTAGAGCGTATAGAGAAGAGGAATCTTGATTGTATGATTTTTCGATGTCGCCTGGTGGGAATTAATTTTTTCCCGTGGTCCTTTCGGAATTCTCGGAGCATAAAACGAGGACGGAGAGTCGCATAATGCATGCACAAGTAGGCGAAGATGCCGCGAAATTGGAGCGCTCCACGTGGACATTAAAACGCTCGTCGTGTATAAAAATTCTCCACTTCATAATAATACCTAATTAATAATATCGCTGTGGAGTCTTATTCGGTCGTTAGTGCGTAATTAATATTTTTTATTGCCCGGTTTTAAATCAGTTTCAACGTAATTTTAGTAGAGCACGTCCAATTTTTTGTTGTTTACATAAAATATAGAGTATATTTTAAGTAACTCAATTTAACAATTTTTTGTAACAAAAAACTACTAACTCTTGTGCGGTTAGAGCTTCAAAGGAAAAATGTACGTGGAATGGTTTATTTTTGTATTCGTACGTAGTAAAATATTTTCTTTCTTTGATCTAATGTTACTTTTCTTTGAACAATACTATACAATAAATCCATTAACTGGATCGCTTAGTTCAGTAACTGCTGAATTATTCATAAATTAACGGTGGTAAAAATTTTCCGTGATATTTTATTTTAGGAATCATTAGGGAAATATCAGTTCCAAAAATATATTTTTGTCTTATATATTATACAATCGTCATCGAAATCTTCCTCATTCCTATTATATCTGTCATTATTAGGTCAAATTTAATTCTCTTTTATCGATTTAATAGAAATGGTAAATAAATCAACACAAATATTACTCGAAAAGATTTATTAACAAAAAGTACCCTCTACGAGTATACGCCTCCCGTTTTTCACATATTATGTACATTTGGTAACGTTAAGAATACTGACTTAATTATTGATAATTTCATTTAGCAATTATTTAATATAGGGTTAAATCGACATTTACATACAGAAAGTTTGGTACAACTTTTACATTGCTATTATAAACACCGAGATATGTCATTAATAATATGATATACTGTATTTATTTTCTTCAAACACCCTGTTAATTATTTATATAACTCGGTTTTAAACATTTAGTTATACAATTCTATGATGGTTAGTAACAATTATTATTTTACTTAAAATATAAATAAATAAATAAACTGTATTCGATACATATCTACTGTATAAATAAAAATTTTTTATATTTTATCCTATTGGAGTTTAATTGGATTTGCAGATGTTAATAAAAAATTGATCAATTCATAAACTTTCATGAGCATCACTTTATTATTGAATAACAAAAAAAAAGAACAAGTTATTTTCATATCGGTTCGGAAACTTTTCGGTTGACTTTTTTCGCCAAAAATTTTTATTACGAACGTAAAGAAATAGTTTGGTTTGGTTGAGTTTCCGTCGAGGAAAAACCACCGCAAACTTATTTCGTTTATGCAACGTTCATGGAGCAGTTTTACGCCGACGGCGACTTTTATTTTACGCGAAAGTTTTAAGTCACAAACGGGCATTCATCTATAAAAACGGGCCGTAAAAACACACCAACACCCGGATTTATTATCGGGCATTTTCGAACAACAAGGAAGAAGTTGTAAAACAATTTTATTATTTGCCTAGTTAGTTTCGTTTAGTTTCACGAACCTTAATTATTTATTCTCTAATTAATCCACGAAAATATATTACGGACATGTATTGATTACTTCATTATTAAAGCTTGTAAGGCGATACCTCTAAAGTTTATATAGTTTTTTTTTTAAATTAAATAAGTTAATGAGCAAATATTATACCAATACAAAATTGTGTTTAAAAAAACATGTAGTTTATCCTGCGAATAGATAGAGAGTTAGGAGTATAGGTAATAATTTTCAAAGTATCGCGTGTTATACCACAAACTGCTAATTATCGAAGCACACAGTGGGCATTAATTTGCCGCCCTGGAGGGCAAGACATCGATGTTTTTGATATATTCGCCCCGTGCGGCTTGCGCGACCCAAACACAGATTTAGAGAAATTACCACCGGAATTATTACAGGTGGTTTAATCGTTTTTCGACTAAAATCACGCCCGGAACCGATCCTGCGTAGGTCCTTCATTTACGCACTGTATTATGAATCGAGTAACATATGAGACTTGACAGTTGTTTTAGAAATTAGTCCGTAGATTAATAATAGATGAGTTCACCTTCTTTGGATTGATGCCAAACAAGGCGGTGAATTATTAATGACGAGAGCTCCCTTTTCCGGGGGCTTCTTCCTGCCGCAGGGTCGTCAAGGGCGGATTTTACATGATTGACATGTGTGCTCCATTAAATAACTACAATCTTTTCATATCTTGCTTAACATATTCTGTTTTTTATAATATACAGGGTGTCTACTATAAAAACCGCCAAACTTCAGGTGATTATACAAGTAATTTCGAGCCGAAAATGTCCTATAACGCTTTTTCGAAAAGTTAATATTTATTTAACCTTTCATAGTTTACAAATTTTTGTTTTTTTTTACAAAAACACAAATAATTCTATCATTTAATGGTCGTCAATTTCATCAATTCATCAACAAGTTTTATATCACTTTTATGTTCAAAACTACTTGTAGATCTATAACAACCTCCTAAAGTTTGGCAGTTTTTATAGTAGACTCCCTGTATATTCTAAATTGTTAACACGCTTTTTGACCAAAAATATTCTTAATATTTCAACATTCAATGAATTTTATTCGACTATCAAATTTGATGTCAATCAATCAGTCAACCATTATCTGCCTAATTAACACAATTATAATATGCATACATTACAAATAATAGTTGAAAAATTTTACCAGTGAATTTTTTACAATAATATTTTATGTAGGAAGCTAAAGGGATTATAACATTTTGATGTTTTACGTGTTTTAATAGCGCGATTGGTTTAAAAAGGAAGATATTTAATTTTTGACGAATATCAGCGTGTAAAAATGATTTTTTTATAAACATTTCAGCGCCAAAGGGAATGGAAAAACTAATTTCGATTTTCACAAAACAATATAAAATTGGTTTTCGATTAATTTCACAGAAACGCGATATTTGTTTGACCAACTGTAATAGATATAAAATTCAAAAAGTAATTTTGAAACAGCGAATTAAATAGACACATTTTTTTGCTCAATAACATTATTAAAAAGTTGTGCTCAAAGAGTTATTAGAAGTATCAATATTGTCCAAAAAAATATATTAAGACTGTCAATTTAAATACATGATTTAATATTGCATTAGAGAATAAACAATTTATAACATTTTTCTTTATTAAATAGAAAAAAATATTTAGTGATTAATGCGAAGGAATTTTAGAAATTCCGATTATCAAGTTTGTATGAGCGAAATTAACTTCTGCTTCCGGAGTTAAAAATTTTTATTCATTTTGATAACGCAAATATGTAGATATGTAAATTTTCCGAATAAATTTTCTTTTCAGTAAAATCCATTCAAGTACCTAATAGTACGTATAAAGTGATAACTGAATATTTCAAGTTCGTAATAATAATGCATTATAAATAAATCAGTTGTCGACGACTATTAATAAAAATTATTTTTAAAGTAGGCGTAACAGAAAAATCACTATAACCCATTTAATATTTTACTTAAATGGTTTTTACCGGAATTATATCGAACAATTTTATAATACTCAACTAAACGTATATTTACATAATAAATCATTGAGTATTTAGGTACTTCAAAATTGAATTGTTTTAATTCGTCGTATAAAATGTGATTCTATAAGTTTTTCTGGTAAAAAATCAATTTCACGCAATAACTAGTTAACCTGTTGTAAATCAATATTCTTACAAGGTAAATTGGACAGCTGGAATCGGTTAGAAATTTAATAGTAAACGTTAATAATATCGATAATAATGTAATAATAATAACCAGTTGATTAAATGAATTATAAAATCGTTACATCAGAAATGGTGTATAACGGAAAGAACTCAACTATCAAATAATAACCATAACCATTTCCTTTACATTACAGTCAGTACATTTTCTTCGCATATTCCTATACTCCAATAATAATTAAATGATCCAAATAATATCCAGTTATTCGGATGTTGTTATTACCACACTCGATTTGAACGTTCAAATAACAGTAATTTCCTAGTTGTATGTTATGAAATGTTAGAAATTTTATTGGTAATGTACCGGTAATTTGATTAATACTTCAAATGATCGACAAAAAAAATTTCATTCACCCTAATGAGACCGTCCATAAAGAACAAATTTAAAATCTACAATGGAAACATTGATATTATTAAAAACTAAATAGTAATTGGAGGTATTTATTTATTATTGTTAATTTGAGTTTAGACAATTGCGAATTAATCTTTTTCATAATAAAAAATTGAAAACATGGAGTTCTATATCATAGACCTTCGATTTCCGAGCGAATATAATTTTACTGAAAATTAGTAATTAATTCTTTTGAACGGTATTTTAATTAAAATTGATATAAATAGAAAATTTTATTCGTAACTGGAACGTTCGAATTGTTTTTAATCTAATATTATTTATGAAACATTTATTTATGTATAAATGTTCACGATCAATAAATTCAATCAAAATATTAATTATACCTCTACTCTGTTTAATAAATGAGAATTTGTTGAATGAATAAAAATTCTAATGCATACGATTAAAATGTTGCTGGCATCTACAGGGTGATCGTTTAAAAAATTCATTTAGTCCCCCTGTTTTTGTTTTATTATATGTGCAATAAAAACCACTTTCTGCAACTTGATAATGAAAAACATTAAAAATTTTCTTTGATAAATGTAGGAAAATTTGAACAAAAGACCATTTATTAAATAAATATTATGAATTATTACGTTCCTTCTGGTAAATATTTCCTTATCAAAACCGATGTAAATATACTAGTCTTTGTGACATCCAAATAGTATATCAAATATTTATTAATACCGTACTCGCCGTTTGTTAGTTTTAATTTGTTTACCCTCACAAACGAGTTCCCTCATTATTTCCTTTGGTTAAACATTAATTTTTCCCCTTGTTTTAAACACGAAATGAAACATTTTTATTCGAACAGTGTAAATAAAACTCGTGTACCGTTGCATTTATATTAAATTTGGAATCTCAAGGAAATTGATTAATGGGAAATGGATTTTTAATTGTATTAATGTTTGTGACAAAATTTGTGCTATACGTATAATGAAATGGATATTTTTCAACGAAATGGATTAACCGCAGTAAAAAATGTTATTCAAAGAAAATTGCTGCAGAATAAAAAATTGGGATTAGAGGATTTTCATGTAATTTCCACGTAATAGGATTATCCGAATTTAATCTCATTTTAACTGAAAGAAGAGAAACCATCCCTATTTTTTTACACGTAGGTAATCTAATCCTTTACTCTTCACCTAAAAAACATATCTCTAATAAAATACATAATTAATGAATTCATCAGGCCTAATACACCCCCAATTACTCGTGCAATAACGAGCTACATATTCTCAAAATACACCATTATTTCACGAGCAGTTCTATCAAAAAAACAAACTTTATAAATCCAGAACCGGTCCTGATTTATAGTGTTCGCCCACAATTTAGTTTCGTGTAAAAGTCGAACTGGAATCGTTTCGAAAAAAAAACGCGTGGGCGATTTTAAATATACACTCCTGAAGAGAATCGATGCTGAAAGGAGAGCGTATGTTGCTTGTGTGTAGGATTTTGTCTGGTTTATTGACTTTCTTACAAATACACGTAGCCTTACTCACTTCTATCATTAAATTTTTGAATCTTGTTAATAAATATCTAGAAATTGCTTTAGATAATACATCCTATCCAACTGTTTTGTAATAGCTGTTATTACGTGATTGTACTAAAAGGATAATGATATTTAAGTTATTGTATTATAGTTTAATTAATCAATTTCTGAATGTATAAGATAAAATAAAATAACAGATATAACAACAAAATCCTATATTTTTTTAATAGTTATAATTAATATAAATAATTCTCACATTTTCTTTGATATATTCGACAAACAATCAAACAATTCTGAAGTACCGTTTCTAATTTTAATGAGCCATAGAAATACGAACCTCAAAAATAAACAGTTAATACTCACAATTAATAATAATATAAAATTCTACCTATAATCAGTCTTATGACCATGTATACTCCATATTCCTAAAGTATTATGCACAATATTCACAAATATCACACAGGGATTTTATTCAATAAACATTATTTATATTTTTATGTACAACAATATACTCTTTCGCGTTCACAGCACAGTCGCTAAAAAAAACCGAAACCCTCTTTGAGCATCCCACACTACACACCACCCCCCCAAACGAACTTTGGTTTAAACAACGGTTTTACACGTCAGTACCGCATCCCTCTTGGTACCCCTCGTCGGGCGAGTTCCTCGAGTTCGTCAGCGCCCGCTTCAAGGCGGTGACCGGCGGCAGGACCGGCACGGCGCCCTTCTGCCACACCCGCAACGTCTTCGCGTTGGCCGGCAGATTGACCTGCGACGCCGCCGAGGACGCGTTGTCGCCGGCGATGGGAAGCCCGTAGTCCGACGGGTACGAGGCCAATCTGTTGGTGCCCTGGGCCAGGCGGAAGCTGAGCTCCTCGGCGGATCCGGCGGTGCTGGTGCCGTCGTGCATGATGGGCGTTTTGTCGTTGTATTGCAGCTGGACGACGGGCGCCGGTTCGTTGTCCCACAGGCCCGATGGATAGAGCGACGAGTCCTGGTTTCTGCTGTATTCGCCGCTGATCGGCCGGTAGAATTGGCCGTCGGCGCTGCTCAATTCGCCGCCTTTGGTGTCGTTTATTAGATCGGGATTGTTGCCGGAGGATGTAGGCGATACGAAGCAGGAGCTGACTACGTTGTAGTGCACCGTGGAGCAAGGCGCTTCGTTCAATCGAGGCGGTTTTTGGACTGGGTTGCAAAAGGCGAGTTCCGCTGGTGGTTTTCGTTCGGTAAACGATGAGGTTTCCTCCGGCGAGTTCATCGGCGAGACGGATTTACCGTTCGGTATATTTCCACCGTTTACGACGGTAACAACTTCGATTTGACCGGGAGTTTTACTCTCAGCGAACGGTAATCTCCTCAATCTCAACAGCAATATTGATATGATGATTAGAATGAACAATATGAGGAACACCAAAGCCGCGCTTAATCCGGCGATTTGTCCGTTTCCCAACGAAGTTATGCCCAACGGTCGCAACGACACCCTCAGCGTGAAATTGGCCTCGGTACTACCCGCTCGGTTTTCTGCCACGCAGTAAAACTCGCCGACGTCCCCTTCCTGTACGTTGGTGATGACCAAACTGCTGCGTTTCTCCTGCTTGCCATCTTCGAAAATGTGGACCATCTGATGGGGCGAGAAATTCGAATTGTTGGTCAACAATTTCCCGTTGCAGTACCATCGAATGTGCGCGGTCGGCACGGCGTTGGTGCGACAATTGATGGTGGCATTGTCCTCGGAGACGGCCTCCACGAACCTAGTGGCAGGAAGAATCTCCGGCTTGCAGGCGAAATCGTCAATGTGCAGCTCGGCGAAGGTTTTGTGCAGGACCCTTTCGGGTCCACCGCTGCACCTGGGACTCTCCGGATACGGGATGTTGTTTCTAACCAACCAATCCTTGACCGATCTCAATCGGCAATCGCAATGCCAAGGATTATCGTGCAGCTCGACGCCGTGCAATCGACTCAACGTCTCTATCGTCCTCAGCCTGAGTTCGGACAATCGATTGCCGTTCAATTTCAACGATTCCAACATCTCGATGCCTTCGAAGGCCTTCGGCGCGACGTTTTGTATCTCGCAATTGGACACATCCAGCTTAACCAAACCGTGGATCGACTGGAAAGCCTGCGATTCGATCTTCTGTATCGGATTATTGGAGATGATCAAATCCCTCAGGAACGGTATGTCCCTGAAGGTGCCCGATGGCACGCCGGTGAGCAGATTGTGCGACAGATCCAATTCGATCAGATTGGCTAATCCTCTGAAAGCCAGATTGTCAATTTGACCGATGCGGCAACTGCGCAGGAACACCCGCTGCAAATTCACCAAGCCGGTGCGATTGAACGTTTCGCGGTGCAATATCTGCAGATTGTTGCCGGAGAGATCGAGCACTTGCGTTTCGGGATCGATCCCGTCCGGTATGGTGATCAGTCCGCGTTCCATGCACTCCACCGTCCGCTTGCCGCCCTTCCATTTGCACGTGCATGCCACCGGACAGACGCCGCTCATGCCGTTGGACATCTCCGCCAGCCACACGAACACCGCCAGGACTAAACGGATACGCATCGACATCGTTTTCGCATCAGCCACAGCCACAGCGACGGAACACGACACGTGCACGCGACGATCGCTCGCCGAAGACTGGCTAGGAGTCGACGAGGACGCGGATCGCGGACGGATTGGCGTCGGATTCGTCGGAGGAAGCAGCGATTCGGGCCGGTTCTTGCGGGCTTTGCGCACTGGGTAGGGACCGAGAGCCGCATGAACGTACTGATTTTTACTTCGACCCTCTTTTATTATTGCATTCTTGAATTATATTTTCGGATGCAGAAGGGGCGCAAGGGCGGGCGGGCTGCTGTGGCGGTTCGGACGATGGGGCAATAACATACACAAAGGCGACTGCTTAATTCGGGATGTTTGAAGGGATTTTTATCTAATAATAGACGAAATCCGTTTTGCGACGTATACATAATTAGTTGCTTGTAGGAATGCGAGGTACACTAAAAAAAAATCGTTGAGAAATCGTGTTGATTTTGCAAGAAAATATCTGAAAATATACCTACCCAAATATTGTTGAATTTGCTGTTTAGTAAATTTACTAAATTTTTGGATAATAGACATTGTCATTTTTAATTGTAAATCTCATGTTTTTAGTAAATTTTCAGAGAATAGACATTGTCATTTTTAATTGTAAATCTCATGTTTTTTGTAATAATCTTGTACCCCCTTTATAATAAGGGAAGAAGTTATTTTACAAAACAATTGTAAAAAAATGAAATTCATTAAGTTTCATGAAGTTTATAAGTTCTTAAAATTAACGTCTCAAAATATAATCCGATTGCAATGTTTATAAAAATATAAAAACTCCTTCCAAGCTATGTAAATAGAGATTGCAAATTCATAGATGAGTAAAAGGAATTTCTTAACATTTTGTTAAAATTTCTAAATAATAGATTAATTATTAGATAATAATAATAGTTTCATTTTACTTAAAATAAAAATAGCCTTCATCAGTTAGTAATGTGAAATTTTGTTACAATATTTGTTAAATATGCTTTTTTGAAAGTTTAATTCGCGAATTTACTTCCTTTGTAAATATAAAATTCGAGTTTTATTTATTTACTCTGAATCGTTTAAAATGTTTTTGCGTATTGTACGTCAATTCGATTTTTGAATAAATAATGAAAGCGCAAAATGTTAGTTACGTCTATTTATTTTTACAAATTGATATGCGACAAGCTGGTAAATAATTTAATAAAATACAGCGAGCGTTTCCCTTCGAAGGGGGTTTTACACGTGTATATAGGTGGAAGTATTTGCTTTTAATCTCCCCTTTAACAAATAGTTGAGACAATTAGAATTGGAATTAGATGGCGAACTTCTCCATTAGGACGAAATTAACATTCAAGGTTTCCTTTACTGCGTCTCTTATCCCCTTTTTAGAGCCCCCTTTCCCAAAAGGAGATCGAGTACGAGCACTCTAATGGTAATTTTAAGTGAGCGCCCCGGCGCTCCTTTCGCCATACTTACTCCAATTTACTCTACAATCAGGTCCGCTCGTCCCCGCAATTTTTCCTACCTCGACAATTAAATTAGGCGAAAATTGTCATTTTGACGTTACCAAACAACTCGAATCGCAATTAAACGCAAGTCGGCGAAACAATGCGATTTTTTTTTCACGAACGGGTTTCTTTTGTTGGGCCGATTCGAAAGCCTATTTTTGAAGTAATTAAACGCAAACAAAAGGACTCGGACAGCTGCACGGTTAAATAAATTGAATTGCCGTTCATTTCGCATTTAACTCAACTAAATTTATTCCATTATTGCGTTAGAATAAAAAAAAAATCGAGCGGCGCCTCTTATTTCTACCCTCCTGCAGACGAGAAAAATACCAACAGAGGATCTATTAGAATCAAACAGAAGCTCCATTAAATTATTAATAAAGAGATTTTCATGTTGTGTCAATAGGTTATAAACGACGCTCGGATTAAATGCATTTTTTGTATATTTTGAATAATTTTTGCATATGCACAAAATACACATTTCCAAATTAATTATGAACAACTCCTTGTTATTTCAATTCATTGTACAACATTGTAAACAGGTTTGCACTTACCTGTACACAGTACCTAATTCATTAGTAATTTAGCGAAACAATTCAAACCCCGATATTCGGATGGACTTGCAATTAGCGCGTTCCGCCCGAGCCGAGAGGCAAAATAAAGACAGGATGTCGTAAATCAACTAAGAATTTTTTTTTGCTACGTGCGCGCGTTTCTTACTCTTATCTCGTCGTCGGTTCTCTCGCTCTCCGGCGAACGGAAGAGCCGCTCGTTTTTATTTTTTCCGATCGAAGCGCGAAGACAATGCGGAGATATTATGCTTTCTACGTGCGCGCCTCGCCCTTGCTCACGCAAATCCGGCCTTAAGTCGGGTTTCTTCATCGCGAAATTCTACTCTAAAACGCGGCGTAAAGTTAAATCGAGCGGATAGAGGCCGGCGAAGAGGTCCCGAATTAATCCTGCAAACTAGACTAATAGATATTTCGAACGAATCAATCGGAAGAGAAGATGTCTAATAGTCATTCAGAATCGATTAGAAGGGTTTAGAACGCTTCGGAAAAAACGCATCGTGTGAATGAGACGCCCTGTATATCCGAAGAGCGTGATTAAATTAAAATGAATGGAATTCCTCGACGGGCGATAAGGCCCAGATACGAGTAGGTGTGCGCTGGATATCTTGATTGAAGAGAGCTAGCCGGTCGGGGGGTTCGGATTACCTGAAGGAACCGCAAAAGGTCTATCGCCGGTGCGTTTCCATTTCGAAGAAATAATAAATAAATTGGTTATAACCTGTCGTTGGCCGTCACCGCAGCGAAATCGAAAAAGGTGTTATTTTTTGGGACCGGTGCTTAGAGTAGAAACCTTGGGATCAGAGCCTAGCTGAGGCCATTGTGTACTGATTCGTTCGGTGAGTGAAGAAAAAACGGTTTCTTTGTCGTCTATAAAGGGAGATTATTCGATATAACAGGGACGTACTCGCATTTATAGTCATAAATATTATTGATAAGTCTATTGTTGCTTAATTTACCGCTATTTTAATAATAGTGTTATCGATATAGTCAATTCTATTACTTGAACAAAGTAAGATTATTAAAAAGACAGTGGTTAGAGTATGAAAATTGCAATCAACTTTATCTTTTTCTTTTAATTAATTACCTTTCATCCTACTTTATTTTACAAAAAAAAAATTGCTGTTACCGACCTGTCTAATGTATAACTTTAGTCAGTACGAATAGAGTCCTGTATTTGTTTGTATATTTCCAGTGTGTTTGTCCTTCTTCCATTCCGCCTTTTCTTCTCGCCTTCGCTCTGTTATTTTATTTTTTTCGAAAAAGTTACCTGCGGAACTACAAGAGTGTCTATCCATTCTTTCCCGGGACGCACGTTTCGCCGACGTGACGAGGAAATTAGAGCCCGGATTAGCGGACTCGGGGGGACGCGAAACCGCCCTCTCGGGTTTCAGTTCGGCTCGCAGAGGTTCCGTGCATTCCAAAATTGCAAGTTTTTTCCGCCGCCGATTCATATTTCAACGAGATAACAGTCCGCTTTCGACGTTGACGTACTCGCTATTAGCATCTACCCGATGAATAAATCCGTTTCAACGGCGACCGTCCTGAATAATATATTATTATTTCGCGGCGACCGGACGATTGGTCTCGGCGCGACTTCCACTCCTTCGCTCCCCGACTAACTTGAATCAGATAAAAAATAAATAGTTTCGATCGCTTCCTTAACGACCGAAACACTTTCCTGTTTACGTTTTCGAATGTATACCCGCACCGGTAGGGATTATTATTTCTTCTTCTTTGTGCCCGGTTTCTGTTCAGAGCGTAGGCCGATGGGCAAGCGACATGCAACAGTAACAGCCTCCATATCCACCAGAATATTTCTATATCATAGGCGTACTTTCAATATTTAATATTCCCTCAAACAATCCTGCTGGAATCCTCAACTTTACTCATCAATTTGGTCTTTCCCCTCGTTTGAATACCAACCAATTGACAGAATTCCTCACACTACTTTACTCTATACTCTCTATTTTCAGTTCGCTATTTAATCATTGTGTTCTTTCAATACTAATTAACAAAAATCTCACACTACTTTACTCTCTACTCTCTATTCGTTATTCTCTACTCTCTATTTTCAGTTTGCTATACTTAATCATTGTGTTCTTTCAATACTAATTAACAAAAATCTCACACTACTTTACTCTCTACTCTCTATTCGTTATTCTCTACTCTCTATTTTCAGTTCGCTACTTAATCATTGTGTTCTTTCAATACTAATTAACAAAAATCTCACACTACTTTACTGTCTACTCTCTATTCCCTATTCTCTACACTCTCTACTATTCACCATTGTGTTCTTTTCCCTCGTTCACTCGAAAACTAATTGTCAAAAGTGTATCCATATGGACAAGTAAATCCGTCGGCGGAGATTCATGTAGTGGAAGTGAATCGAGGTCTCTGCTACACGGAACGGAAAACGGCGTCTTCGGCGTCGCGTCGCTTTAGATGGAGAGCGAGCTAAATGGTTGCAGCCAGTTTTACACCTAAATCCCATCGGAGGCGACGGCGACCGGAGCAAATTGTCCCAAGGCGCGCATGAGAGTCGAGTTGGAGAGGAAACTTCCCCTCGTCGTTGTATATAAGTGTATTTATTCGGTGTATTTATACACGAATCGTTTCCGTCAGATTTCGATGGCGAATTAGGGGCATAGTGCGAGGTGTTTATGTTCGAATCGGAGCATAAATGTAGTACATATTGATAACGCGAGCATATTTCGGGGCATTTAATGCGCGTAACTCTCCGCATCCCGATAAAATATGTATATTATCAAAGAGATGCAATCGGGAGCGCCGCGCGTACAAATGATTGCATAATGTCGAGAAACCCTGCTGTGCACAAACAATCGTTTATTACACCGAACAGTTTATTGAAATATCAGTTATTGTTTAGACTAATAATGCTACCAATTACATTTAGAGATAGATTGAATGTGCAATATTACGACCTCTTTATATGCACAAACTCTACCGAGTATTCGGATAATTGACTGCGTAATTTCGTGCCGCTGTTTGAGGCAGGAGGTTTATGATGTTAGAAACATATGTTCAATGTTAATAAAATCCAGTAGATACCTTTTTTATATATTTATTCGCTACCCTATTATTTTTTACCGCGCAATCTACATAACTACTGCTTGAGTTCAAGTTTGAAAAAATACCTTGGACATTTTCCACTGCATCTTTCTTTTCACCATCCATTATGAGACACCCGCGCGAAATAATCATCAATAGAGCGGCGAATTGTCTGGCCGGAATTAACCTTAAATCCATTGGAACCTCTCCATTTGCCATCTTCCCGGGTGATTTATTTTTAATTAAAAGGTGGGAAGAGCGCGCGCCATCGCAGCCAGGAAGAAAATTTGGCATCAGGAATAATCCATTAGGAAAGACGGGACGTTCGCTCGCGTATAGGTGGATATAATACGGGTATTTGGCAAATTGCTCGGAAAGCGGAGTACGTATATGAAACTGAATCTATCCGATGTATGGCGGAAATTAATGGCGACAATGATGGTGAATTATATTTCGGATTAAGCGAAGGTGCTAAGGTGTGCACATTTTCCTCGCATTATTTCCTAATTACGAAATATAAAATTGGAGATTGAGTGGATAAATGTCTTTTTCTGTGGACGTTAATTTACCCTTCGGAATGTTAAATAAAAGGAATTTTTCCCTCATCCCTTTCGGTCCTCCGAGTCTAGACAGTCTAATAAATAGCTGGCAGCTAACAAGGTGATATTAATCCCGGTCCTTTGCGATATTTATCGACTTCTCTCGGACACGACCCCTCGAAAGGGGTGACTCTTATCTCGTTATGCATAAAACATATATTGTCTATATGGAAAACGTTTTACCAGCACCTAAGTAGCCAGTTAAAAAGTTATAAATCGTCTATAATAAAGAGTCGAAAATTGGTTAGTAAAATTCTAAGCTTAGTTAAACATGCACTTGTTTGGACAAGATGCATCTCGCAACGTTATATTTGTTCGAAAAATTGAGCTTGTTTGTTCATGTCAAAGCGAAGTAAAATATTATGAATAACGTGCGCCGATAATAAAAGTTATGATAAGGCGTAGCTTTATCATTGTCTGATCGTCTGGTCGGCCTCGATTTTCCGATTTTCGTGGCGGACTTTTTCCCTTTTCCCGTACTGATCTCTCCCGGAATCGTGCCGTTGCATGCTCGATCGCGATAAAAGCGGAGCGGCCGTGTCGTTTTTCTCCACACGAGCGGGGAAAAAGATGAAAAGCCAATTCTAAGAACGATTGCGATTTTCCGCCAGCATGTGCATCCTAACTCCCTCCGTTTCGGCATCTACTCTAATCTACTGGATGAGTTTTATATTCGAGAGAAATTTTAAACAGTCCTCGGCCACATACCAATTTATTATGCATTGCCCCCTCATTGCAGTCGTTTTAATAATGCAATATACTTACTTGACCAAACTTCGTCGAATATCGAGGATTTTGGCACGATTTAAGCAAGCTTTCGGTTGAAGAATTTGATTAATAATATATTTAATTAACGCTGTTTGTTTACGAAAGATCTTTCATTAAATCGAAGTCCCTTAATTATTGCTTAAGCTTTATTTACTTAATCAGTTAAGGCAGTTTGTAGTATAAATCTATTGCATATTGCAAAAGTATTTTTGGTACATCTTTTCGTTATAACTATATTAGTCCAAATTTTTATTATTCAGTTTTTATGCTTTATATTTAATCAAGTAATTCCGCGGTAAATTACCTGCAGAAAACGCTTTGCATCTGCATGTTCGTTTTCTTTCGTCGTTTTTGTTTTATCTGGGCGGAATTACAACTTTGATATACCAAAAAAGAAATGACGCAGAAACGGTCGGGCGAATGCAAGTCACGTCTTTTCCGACGTGTATATACTGGCGTCGCGACGACGAAGGCCGACGTTTAAGCCGTAAAAGGAATTACCTAGTTTAATAAAAAAGATATCCTATATCTTCTCGACGAGCTACAATGAAACATTTAAACAGCTACCTGGGCTTTATTTCGCCTCTTTTTACCCCGTGTTTCGCGTTTCAGAATGGGTTGTGTGTGCTTGTGTATATGCAAACACACACACACACACACACACACACACGATGATTTATTGTTGTTTGCGTTTTGTGATCATCTTGTCGGGTATTTTGTCAGAAATTTAATTTTTGGGGAACGTAATTTTTGTACCATCGCAGATTTATACTAATGGAAACTATACAGTGACATTTGAGTGCTCTATCGATTATATTTGCGTATCTGTATTGTATAATCCCGAGTGGATGTTCTCGCGTCGTAATTGGATATATTCTATCTGTCGCCGTTGTGTAGCCATTAATAAAATATGCAAAACGAAGAGAGCAAATCGACAAACGGAAATCTGAGCGAAAAGGGGGCTCCTCGAGGATAATAAAACAGTCGAAAGTGGAGACATTTAACAGGAAATTGTGTTGCTTTATCCTTACGCCTCCGCTGATTCTACAGCTTATTTATTTACGAAAATGTTAATGGCCGTATCTGCCCCGTCGACCTATTGTCGCTATTTTACTGGTGCAAACGACTTTAAAACATGGATATTTCGGCTCGCATTGCTCGAAAATGTGTGTGGATAGCGGTATTTTGTTTTATTTATACTTTTCACTTTCATCCGAGCTTAATGTATATCCGCACCATTCGTCTGAAAAGCTTTTTTGTCGCTAAAGCGCTTTTGTCTACCATCTCTACTTATTATACCAAAAAAATGACATAATACACCAATTTTGCAACGTTCATAATTACAATGCAATTCCTATATGAACAGGAACTACTCATAGAACTTTGTTAATTGAAATTCCCCACACTTTAACTCTCATCAACTCTCATCTACTCTCATCTACTCTCATCTACTCTCATCTACTATCATCTACTATCATCTACTCTCATCTACTCTCATCTACTCTCATCTACTCTCACATCTACTCTCATCTACTCTCACCTACTCTCATCTACTCTCATCTACTCTCATCTACTCTCATCTACTCTCATCTACTCTCATCTACTCTCATCTACTCTCATCTACTCTCATCTACTCTCATCTACTCTCATCTACTCTCATCTACTCTCATCTACTCTCATCTACTCTCATCTACTCTCATCTACTTTCATCTACTCTCATCTACTCTCATCTACTCTCATCTACTCTCATCTACTCTCATCTACTCTCATCTACTCTCATCTACTCTCATCTACTCTCATCTACTCTCATCTACTCTCATCTACTCTCATCTACTCTCATCTACTCTCATCTACTCTCATCTACTCTCATCTACTCTCATCTACTCTCATCTACTCTCATCTACTCTCATCTACTCTCATCTACTCTCATCTACTCTCATCTACTTTCACCTACTTTCATCTACTGTCACCTACTCTCATCTACTCTCTGCAGGACAATAAAATTAGTCGTTGCA